ATGTCACTTGATTTAAATTAGTATAACAAAATAAATTCAGGAAATTAAGCAGTAAGGTAGTAAAGTAATGAATTGTTATAAACATTGATAAAGGAATTGTCTATGTTTTGTAAACGCTTTAACCAATATATTTTGCGAATTGTCTTGGAAAATAGAAAACTAGGTGAGTCAATTGTTCACATTTTGGTAAATACGAGAAATATTCAAGTATATGTATTTTGTATTTAAGGCATTTATACATAGATTACTGAAAATATTAATATCATGGAACATACATAGTTCAGCCAGTAAGAATAGAAAGGAAAAAAGAAACCAAAGAACAATAGATATACAAAATCTTTTAAAATATGAAAAAAACACTTAACATACTTGGCACGTCTAAAGTGCTTATAAAAATAAGAAGATGCGGTATGATTGCCAATGATACAACTCTCCTCCGGAGACACTTTATGGAATGTTTCCCACTTGCACTGTGTTGCAGTGCTTTTAGACTTCAATGAATAATCATGATTGGTTCCTTTTATTTTGAGATCTTAAATGTCTTGTCGTGTATGTAACATCTCAGTAATAGCATATGTTGTTAAATATGTACTAAATATTTACCCTATTTAAAAAGGATATTTATATGAAAATATTACTTATCTTGCAGGGACATTTGAAAATAAGAAATAGATTTTCACAACCGTATTTTATGGTTTTAATATTATGTTTGAGCACATAAAAGTTCCAGCTTTAAAACAACTACACATAATAAAACAAAAATGAAGACTATAGTAAGAGCTATTTTCCTAATGCTTGTAGTTTAAAGGTTTGTTTGGCGTGTTTGCTTTGTTTGTATAAATGTTTGCTCAAGCATTGTAATTAAGATTGACATCTGCAATCAATAGATAGGCGGGTCTTCAATTTAAAATTGAGAATGGAAATGGGGAATATGTCAAAGAGACAACAACCCGACAAAAGAGCAGAAAACAGTCGAAGGCCACCAATGCGTTGTCAACATAGCGAGAAAATCCCGCACCCGGAGGCGGGCTTCAGCTGGCTTCAATTTGTATACATTATACTTTTAAATGTCTTTGTATGTTAAGTATAATGCAGAGTATAATGTATACAAGCTTCAGTCCCGCCTATCTATTGATTGCAGATGTCAATCTTAATTACACTGCTTGAGCAAACATTTATACAAACAAAGCAAGCAAGCCAACCGAACCTTTAAACTACAAGCATTAGGAAAATAGCTCTAAACCGCTGTACAATGTATATATATCTTGTATTTAATTGGGAAATTTGGATTATTTTAAGTATGCTTAGAAAATACCAAAACGAGAACGAAAGTTAAGGCCACATTTAAGTCGCTTAAAATTTTAAAGTAAAGTGCTATATAATAAAGAGGAAGGGGTATTTCCCCATGTTTTTGTTTCACTCACAATGTCGAAATCTAGTAGATTCCAAGATATAAAAGAAGGAATTATTTGTTGTTTGTTTGAGATTTTTTTATTATTATTCGATTTCTTTCCTCAGACTTGGAATGCGTTTACGAACTTTGGATAACGAGGATGTCTTTTCAGTTCTATCTAATATATCTATCTAGATCTTTTTTATTTTAAGGCTGGGACTATCTTATGTGATGCTTTTGGTTCTGCTTATTAAAACTATCACAAACATACTTTTAAAAATCTTCATATTAGGCTCATCATGCGATTGCATACAGGAATACTTCAAAAGGAAATGTATCTCATCTTTAACAGCCTGATCACAAAAATTACAAAAGAAGCTGTCAAATGATATGATATTTTGATCAGATTGTATAAACTTACACTATTTCTAATAGTCTACTTCTCTGTTCCTGAGTGCCATGATTGAGATAAAGTTCAAGTTTTAAACAATCGTTTAACTTTCTATATGTTATAAGCTGGTTGTCTTGGCATAAGCTTTATGTTATACTTATTCGTGTTTTTTTTTTGTTGTTGTTTGGTTAGACCATATCTAATTAAATTTTGCTTTTAATCTACGTTTACTTAACTTATAAAAAAAAGTACTTTTAATGTGTAATAATACAAGTTTTATATAAATTTTCGGTATTTTAATCTGAAAGTAAGTTGATAGATAAGTCCAAACCACGATTCTTTGTTATCTAGAAAAATTGAGTACGATGTCCTATAAACAGACACTACAAAACTGTACTTAGATATAAGAAGATGTGGTATGAGTGCCAATGAGACAACTCTCCATCCAAGTCACAATTTGTAAAAGTAAACCATTATAGGTCAAAGTACGGCCTTCAACACGGAGCATTGGCTCACACCGAACAGCAAGCTATAAAGGGCCTCCCAAATGACTAGTGTAAAACCATTCAAACAGGAAAACCAACGGTCTAATCTATATTAAAAACGAGAAACGAGAAACACTAAGTCTTATGAACCACATCAACAAACGACAACCACTGAACATCAGGTTCCTGACTTAGGACAGGTGCAAAAAAATGCAGCGGGTTTAAACGTTTTAACAGGCGCCAACCTTCACCCTAACCTGAAACAGTGGTATAACATTACAACATAAAAAGACAAACAATAAAATATCAATTGAAATAGCTTAACTCGATCAAAAAGACAATACAAAAAAACAAGTAAATATACACTGAACGAATAAGTTTGATCTATGACACAATATAAATAAAAAACATGTTTCAATGTCAAAAAGACAACTTTAACCTAGGACAAAATGACATTAAATAAAGTAACGTACACAGGTAAATTTGAATAAATAATTTTGTTGTTTGGAGTACAGAAACATTTTTTACAAAATAAATGTGTTATTCATAGTACGAGTACAGAAGTGAAATTTTTTCGTCATACTAATGACTTATCAAGAGTGGTTTTTGGGCACTCAACCCTCCCTCTAACTTGTGATAGTGGTGTAGCAGCACAAAATGCGAACAAACTGTAAAAATCAGTTGCAATTGGCTTAACTCAAAAGATCGGTACGAAGCACCGAAAGAAATAACATAAAAAAATACATTAAAAAAAAAACGACACAAACACCGATAAAAGAGTACTCGCAGTTAATGAAATCTAGTTCAAAGCCAATGGCAACTAATTAATAAATCTAGTTCTTTTATATACTAAATTATCAATCAGTACACATCCAACGGATTTAGTGTTAACGTCATAAATTGTCGGAGCAACTCATGACTTTGTGCAATGCCAAAATATAAGTAAACAGTATAGACAGGATGTATGATAATGTGTTCTTATAACTATAAATATATATATATAGCAATATATATTTAGTTATGTTTTAATTTTTAAAACAAAATCAATGTTAGTACCGATGAAAACAATATTTAAAGATTATACTACTGTGTTAGATTGATAACATTTAAGAATAAGTTTATCCAAAGGATCAATGCGTTTACATGAATCGTATCTAAATTTACGGGTTAATAAACAACATCGCCGTAAAAGAGGAGGATGTGAAATCCAGCTTTTAATCAGAATTCTACAGGTACAGCAAAACTTCCTTGACAAATATTTGTATCTATGAAAAAAAATGGTAAAGGTTTTAATTAATGTGTGGTAACGAAATCCCTGACTTAATAATGTTCCAGGTATACACTGCGTCCATAAATTGAGTTCATTGAAATCTAAATCACGACTACAGACACGGGCATACCAAACAAACAAATATACATATCGTAAAAAGAGGACACTTTAAAAAAGGAAAATTTACAGATTAATCAGGAATGAAAAATTGTCACTTTTGTCGTAATTTTTTTATATAGAGTTTCCCCTGTGAAACTTACATCCAAATCGAGAAAAGGTAAATTATCGCTATCGGTATGAGATTTATTTAAAGTAAGTTCATTTGGGCATATTTCAGCAGAAACATTAAGTTAGTGTTTGTAGATTTATCAATGTAATGTAATCATGGTAATTAAGACAGATCTTCACTGAGTATGGCCATAAACTGTGATATATGAAAAACGGGAACAAATCTGCTATCAAAGGGCGCAATTGGTGTCCATAGGAATACCTACAATCTGCCGATAAACTGTATTGCAGAAACGTACATAGGTGTCGTCAAGAATAAAATGTTCAGCTTTAATTATTTGTTCCAGTAAGTATATCTAGCATATTTTTCTTTTCCATTACAGAAGAAGACTTTACATAAGTTGCAGTATATAAATCTACAACCCAATTTTTCAAAGGACCAAAATTTGATTAAATAAGATAACTCCATATCTCCAGGTATTAAAGGACAATTATTCACGTTAAGACATCTTAGAAATGCCACACTTGATGACTCTAGATATCATCTTGAGCCATTGAAAAATACAAATGATAATTGTTCAATCATGAGTTTTGCGATTAATCATGTAAGGAACAACTATAATTAATATTATCAGTGTTTTTATTTTATGGTCGGAAAGGGGTATAATATTAAGAAAACCTTCGAGAAAAACCTGCGAAAAATGAAAGACATATCAAACCATTATTTCCCTATTATTGTCATTATTCATCATGTTGTCATGACTTACATGAAACAGTAAAACATTTAACATCTCGGTACTTGAACTTTGTTTATTATAATTCTAGAAATGGGCGTATTACTTACGCATTTATCAATTTTATTGTTTAGTCAAAGTCAAACATAACGTGAAATGAAGTTGGGCATGCTGCACAGTTCTGTCAACATGGTCAAGGGATGTTCTCCAAGGGGTGCTTTCTATCAGGTTCGACATTTAAGATAAATTTAATAAATACGTTAAACCTTTTTTTTAAACAGACTTGTAATCTGGTGTGCCAGACGCACGTTTTGAGTACATAAGTTTCATCGGTGTCGCTCGAATCAAAACTGTTGGAAGCGAAAGAGCAATTCCAAGAGTAGTGCCAAATACCACCCAAAGCGAGATAACTCTAAATTTAAATCAGTGTTTACCTTGGACACACGATTTTGATCACTGAAGTGTTTAAAGATACGATAAAGTACCGTTTCTACATAAAATCTTGCACATCACATGATTCACTTGCCGGTAGTCTCAACCATGGCGTCTAATGTCCAAAGTTTTCTTGGGAATTATTCAGATATTTTTGCAGTAGCAGGAGTAGTGTCTGTTTCATATATCGCACTTAAGCTCGCCCTTTCAATTTTTAATGGCATCAAAGTCTTTCTTCTGGCAAAACCGCTTGGTTTAACTAAGAATTTCAAGAAATGTGGACAGTGGGCTGGTAGGTGCAACTCATCAGTTTATGCCAAAAAATGTATACTTGTACAAATATTAAGTTTTATTTAGAGTCGGCATAGTGTACGGCGATTAAGACTTAAGTCTTAAAAACACCTTTCTATTGTTGAAGCCTGTACATTGTATACATGTAAGCCCTATTGCACAGGCACTTGTTTCTATCCATGGGAAGCCCCACTATCAACGTATATTTACGTAAATATACGTTGATAGTGGGGCTTCCCATGGATAGAAACAAGTGCCTGTGCCCTATTGTCATGGTTGTCTCATTGACACAGCTTTCATGTGGAGTATATAATTTATAAACCTCTAGAAGTCCTGTTGTCATGGTTGTCTCATTGGGGGTCTCATTGACACAGCTTTCATGTGGAAATTCCGACCTGACTGTATATAAACCTCTAGAAGTCCTGTTGTCATGGGGGTCTCATTAACACAGCTTTCATGTGGAAATTCCGACCTGACTGTATATAAACCTCTAGAAGTCCTGTTGTCAATGGGGGTCTCATTGACACAGCTTTCATGTGGATCCACCTGACTGTATATAAACCTCTAGAAGTCCCGTTGTTATGGTTGTCTCATTGGGGGTCTCATTGACACAGCTTTCATGTCGATCCGACCCAACTGTATGTAATTTTTTAATTGTGTTTTCATTAGTGTATTGCTATGAAATAAAGGTTTTAAATAAGGGTTTTTTATGTTTAAAACTAAAATATCGTTCTAAATATGTGTTTTGTGAATTATTTTGCCGAAATGAAGAATGAATATTGTCATGATGTAAAAGGCCAAGTTCATTCATGTTTATAGACTTGTAAAAGAAAGTTGGAAGATTCCAAAGGACTATCAAATTTGTCACAATGATATTGCCACTATAGAAATTTTCATTGTTTTTACTTATATAGCTAACATGGCTAACTACATGTATTTTACTTTACACCAAAGCTAATATCAACAATCATGATTTTCAAACACATAACAATGATACCAAATTAGCTTTATAAATACCAGTTAACCGTAATCATTAATTAATAATGAATAATTGATCAACTGATCACCAAAAAAAATATTTGGGGGGGTTTTAAATTTTAATGTGCAACAACATTTTTGAGGGTTACAATTTTTCACAGTCTTTTACTGTACTCTAGAAATGGTGTCACATCTCATCTTTTTTTTTTATGGTGTACTGATGATGAGCTAATAAGCCTTTTTCTTCTTTTTATTTACGTAATTCTTGTACTTATATTATTGTGTAGAAAAGATACTTTGAGATCGTACATGCCAGCTAGAATAACAGCAAAATTTTTTTGTTTGTGTTGGAATAAGTGACTATTGACCTTTGCCATTCAATGTTGAGGTCTCCTTTGCAGACTTTGCAAAAGGCAGGCATACATGTATATCCCTATTGTTGAATTCTGACATACATACAGAGGAATACAAATCAAAAGTTCCATACAAGTTCAGATCTTTCCTTGTTTACAATGTCCAATTAACCATGATCACAGGAAATACTGATTTTGATTGGCTTATTATCACTGATTTTCATGATTATGATTGTCTCCCTTGGGAATTTTTTTTAATCGGAAACCAACAAACTTTTGTGTATAGATTTTTACAAAATTGTGTTTCAGGCTTTTTTAATGATCACTGGAACAAGGGGTCAATATCATCATGATCATGTAATTGACATCTAAATTGTGAAAGTTTGCATGTACGGAATAAACCATCTAATGAGGAATAACATCTTTCCTCTTCTTTGAGGGGGAATTTTAAGTATTAGAAATGCAATTTATTGTTTAAAGTTAATTTATTAACTTTTCAATTAAAAAGCACGCACCTATCTTCATTTTGTAAAGAGGTTTTTTTAAATGCCCAAAATAACCCAGATATAAAGTCAAAACCCCAAAAGCTGTCATGATCGTAAATAAGCAATTGTATATTGTCATAATAGATGAAATTGATATAAAGTAAGACTAAAATTTAGGGATATAATATCTTTTTGACTCAATTCAATGGCATTTAATTAGATTCAAGTCTAAGATTTTTGTTTCATGTATGCAAGTTCCTTGTGTAACAATATGGTGGACGTAATTATGAATCATAATATTGAAATTAAAATGCGAACTGTCCGGGGGAAAACAATTAGAACTCCAAATTGTGGCCTTTTGAGAAATATTGAAATTGAAATGCCGACTGACCAATTTAACTTGGAAAAATAGTTATGATATAGTTCATTGTAGTTATGATGGTCAATTATGAGGTATATTAATTAACAGAGTAGCGACCCATCCGATGGTGATAAGCTGATTACCTGTAATCACAACTTATAACACCTGTTGTAAATGTTAATTATCTGAGGGTTATAAACTTGTCAGAAACATGAAGACAGGTAGAATTATAATAGTATTTTTTATACTTTCCAAATTTAAGTGACGAAATTGTTTTTTTAAACCTTTTCATAACTGACGAAAAAGATGAGTGCTAGCTTAATTACTGATTATGATGGAGATATATACATGTCCATTTTGCATAATTTCATCCACCATATTGTTACACATGGAACTTGCATAGAAGAAAAAATGATGGTAATCTCTTTTTAGTCCCCTATCGATGAAGTCGAAGGGGACTTTAGGTTTGCACTCGTCTGTCAGTCTGTCCAACCGTCAGTCCGGCAAATCAGCTTTCCACACTTTTTTTCTTCGTTCTTGAAGATATTGATTTGATATTTGGTATATAGTTTTATCATGACAAGTTATAGATCAAGTTCCAATTTTGTTCCGGTCTGATGATTTAGTCCAGAGTTATGGACCATAACTCTGGACCATATCTAATGTTAGAGTACTATGTTAAACCATATTTCTGTACAAAGGGAGATAACTCATTTTTTAAAAGACATTCTTTGTTAAATTATTTGAAGAATTTTTTGGCAGATTTGTTTGTTATTTAGTATAAACTAATTTTCTGAATGCTATATATATAAAAAAAAAAAATTATGAAGAGAAATCCTTTAATTAGATGATAATCTATTTTTTATTAATGTATATATTTCAAAACATTACATTGTGTAGATAAAAGTTGTTGACATTTTATAGATAAGTTACAAATCTATATTAGTTTGTGACAAATGAAAGAAAAAATATTTGGAACTATTAATTATATTTGATTATAATTTGAAAATAGATATACACTGTATTACATCATATCTAATTTTAGAGAACTATTAATCATATCTAATGTTTTTCTCACTCATATAATCAGTTTTCCACACTGTTTTTAGTCATGCTTGAAGATATTGACATGATATTTACTTTTTGTTTACACCATGACAAGTTATAGAACAAGTTAGCATTTTGTTCCAGTAAAATGAATTTTTACCAGGTAGGGGACTATGTATTGCCATGCAATACTCTCAGAATGCTTGTTAATTTTTATTTCTAAAAGCTTTTTATACGACCGCAAAAAAATTTTGCGGTCATATATTGGTATCACATTGTCGGGGTCGTCGTCGTCCGAAGACACATTGGTTTTCGCACTCTAACTTTAGTTTAAGTGAATGGATCTCTATGAAATTTTACCATAAGGTTCAATACCACAAAAGGAAGGTGGGGATTGATTTTGGGGGTTATGGTACCAACAGTTAAGGAATAAGGGGCCAATAGGGGCCAAAATAAGCATTTTTGTAACTTCCAGACATAACTTGTGTGTTAGTGTATGGATCTCTCTGACATTGTACCACAAGGTTCCATATCACAAAGGGAATGCTGGGATTGATTTTGGGGGTAATTGCCTCCAAATTTTAGGAATTAGGGGCCAAAAAGGGGCAAAAAGCAAGCATTTTTCTAGTTTCATGACAATAACTTGTGTGTAAGTGTATGGATCTCTCTGAAATTGTACCACAAGGTTCCATATCACAAAGGGAATGCTGGGATTGATTTTTGGGGTAATTGCCTCCAAATGTTAGGAATTGGGGGCCAAAAAGGGGCAAAAAAAAAGCATTTTTCTAGTTTCATGACAATAACTTATGTGTAAGTGTATGGATCTTTATGAAATTGTACTACAAGGTTCCATATTACAAAGGGAAACCTGGAATTGAGTTTGGGGGTAATTGCCCAAAGCGTTTAGGAATAAGGGGCCAAAAAGGGGGCAAAAATAAGCATTTTTCTAGTTTCCAGACAATAACTTGTGTTTAAGTGTATGGATCTCTCTGAAATTGTACTGCAAGTTACCATACCACAAAGGGAAGGCTGGGATTGATTTTGGGGGTAATTGCCTCAAAATTTTAGGAATTAGGGGCCATAAAGGGGTAAAAAATCAAGCATTTTTCTAGTTTCAGGACAATAACTTGTGTGTAAGTGTATTGATCTTTATGAAATTGTACTACAAGGTACCATACCACAAAGGGAAGGCTGGGATTGAGTTTGGGGGTGATGTATCATAAGGGGGTTCAAAAAATTTGGGGGGGAATTTTTTTCTTTAAAATTTTCCATTTTAAATTGGTTATTTCTGATTTATATATAAAAGCAAATAATAATGATATGGTTTAAATAGGTAAATTAAAATTTTTAAAGTTCTTAGACCACATTCATTCTGTGTCAGAAACCTATGCTATGTCAAATATTTAATTACAATCCAAATCAGTGCTGTATCAAGCTTGAATGTTGTGTCCATACTTGCCCCAACTGTTCAGGGTTCGACCTCTGCGGTCGTATCAAGCTGCGCCCCAGCGAAGCATTTTATTATACTTGTGAAAGCCATCTTCTCATAATTTAAGACTTTCAAAAATGTGCCAGACCATCGGACAAGACTGCCAATTATGCTGTAGAATAGACAATTATTGGCACCTCACTCATCCAAGTGTTCAGTAAACATGGTAAAGAAAACTGTGTGATCCAATATTCTGCAACCAAAATCATCACAAAACACTTTTAAATATGGATTTTCTTAACACCATCAAGGCATCATTTATGTTTCATTTTAAATATTGTATCAACTTATTTTTTCTTAAATACTTAACTTTTATCTATGTTAAAAATTAAAGGACTTAATTCTACTGATGATACACTAAATACCAGATACAAATTGTAAACCAGTTTTGTGGGAAACAGCATGTGCCAAAAACCATTTGGGGAATGAAAATTTTCAAAAAATTTGTTAGACATATATGAGAAGTATTTTCTTAAAATGAGCATCAGGCTAGTAGATATAAAAGTTTTTGGAACAGCTTGGTAAAATTGTTTGAATATGTTTTCCAGATTTTAACGATAACAGATTTTGATTTTCCCAAAAATGTTTTTGTCTGAATAGTTTTTCGTCAGTCAGATGAATCATTGCAGTTTGACCAAATTTCTGACAGCCTTTTGATGTCAATTACGGGAAGTCTGTATTTTATTTCAAAATTCTGTCATTTAGTATTCTTTCTATTCACAGAATAATGTTTTTTCCCTGTATACATGTAGTCATGATAATCTTTACGAAATGTGTCATCTTTTCACAATCTGTAGCTTGAAAACAACATGAACAAGATTGGTGACCTATATTTTTATAGACAATGCTTATTACCACAAAACACAGTTCAAGTTCAACTTTTGGTGCATCACTTTTATAATTCTCTAGTCATGCTAGTTATGTCCCTTTATAACATTATATGTAAAAGGGGCATCATCTTTGTCTTCATTAAAAAAATTTTTTAAATAGCACAATATAAAGTACATACAGTTGACATATAAGCATAGTATTAAAACAATCTGTTGACTCAATTTTTTGTTTATCTTTTATAATGCATATGATCATAATTCAGCAGTTCTAATTATTATTTGAAACTTGTTGCAGAATAAGGATCATACACATGTAACTTTTCTGAAATAGTTGAATAAGAAAAAAGACAAAGAGACAATATAAACTTTACAGTCTCTGGGTAATGTGGAATGAAATAATATTTATTTCTTTATTGACAGTGGTGACTGGTGCTACAGATGGCATTGGAAAAGGATACACACACCAAGTAAGTGTGGTTCTCTATTTCCAGATTATGATTAGACTATTCAATAAGTACTCTTCTTTTAGTTCTTTTGGGTTGTAGAGTTGCTGTCTCAATAGCATCTCTTTTAATCATGTTTCAGGTCTTTTGATAGTCATATAAAGGAAAGACAGCTGTTTTTTTCCTGCATCACCAACAGAGAAAGAAGGTCCAGTAACAACTTAACTCTGTCTTGTCTGTCATGCTGTCCGTCAGAGAGATCTTGGGTAGAAACTTGTCAAATTTTTCTTGGATTCTTTGGAAGGGAATGATTTAATATTTGGTCTGCAGCTTAATAATGTTGGGTAGTAGTGTTTAAAAATTTTTTACAACTGCCATGTAGCTACTTCCTGTGTGCGAGTACTGTAAATTCAGAAATTATTGCTTGCATTTATTATTGCGATTTTTGAAGAATGGACAAAAACGCGAGATTAATTATTGCTAGTTCAGGAATAATTGCATACAGATATATGTATCAGATATCAGAATGCGAGTTCTTATTATTGCGATACTCACCTAGTCGCATTATTCACAATAATAAAAACCTTGCAATAATTTCTGAATTTACAGTAGTTTAAAAGTTTACAAGGAATTTTATTCACCTTTTTCTTGGCTTCTATTGAAGGGAATGATTTTATATTTGGTCTGCAGCTTGACAATGTTGAATTGTAGTATCTAAGAAATGTGTACATCTTCTGTGCAGCTACTACCTGTGAAATGTGTACATCTTCCATGCAGCTACTATCTGTTTGCCGATAGTTTGAAAATTTACAACTCTCATAATACAAGGAATATTTTCTTGGCTTCATTGAAAGGAAATGATCAATTATGCTTCAATATTCATGCTACCTCAATCAATTGCTTGCGACAATGCAAGTCCAGACACTTAAAATAGGAAGTAGGAAATTATATAACATGTTTAAATTTAAGGTTATAAGTACATGTAGTTTGAAGTGAAGTGTATGATCATATCACAAAAAAATTTCAACAAAGAATTTGTGGTAAAATACATACACATTAACTGCCAAAATTAAGGTCCTGTCAGAGATGGTATGACCTCAAAACATGTACATGGTTCAGTGATTATGTTTAAGTTTATATTTCAGGTTAATTCAATTAAATTACAAGTACATGCATATGAATATGGAGTATATAATCACCATGTAACTTACTTTATTTCAAATTCAACAAAAGTATCATTGATGTCAATTGTAGGTTAAATTTAAAGATAAAGTGTAGTTAGTTAGATGAATTATAATGAAACTACTAAGGACTGATTCTCATTCTGATATCTTATGAAGAAACAGATATTTGGGCCTGATAGAGATATTATGTCATTTTTCACAAATAACAAATATGCATTTGATATTGAATTATATGGTGGTTTTACATCTGCAACATGTTGTAATATCAAATATTCAATGTTTAACATAAAAATTTCCCCATCAATTTAGATTAATTTTAAAAAGGTCAGCGACAATGTGGTGAAATGAACAAATTGCTGATATTTTAGAATTTACCAATACATGTAGATTAAAATGCATTTACTCATAAAAAAGGGGATCAACTTTAAACATTTTCAATGCTTATGGAATACATTTTAATGTTCACAGCTCGCCAAGAAAGGAATGGACATTATTTTGATTAGCAGAACAAAGGCAAAGTTAGAAGATTGTGCCAAAGAAATTGGTTAGTTTAGTTTAAGATCAATACAAAGTTAAAAGATTGTCCTAGCTGTATCTTGGAGCAAAGTTCAAGTTATGTATAAAAAGGACTGAGCTAGAAAAAGGTAAATCTATCTTGGAACAAAGAACACTAAGAATAGGAAATAGCACATGTACCAAAATTGAAGATATATTCCACAAAATCAATACCCATATATATAAGCTGGCTGGTTTTGTAGAAAACACATTTTTTCAGTCAATATCGAAGAAACTGATACAAGTACCTTAAAAGAAAGTAGTGAATGATACCAAAGGGACATTCAAATTCCTTAGTAGACAAAAAAAAATGAGAATGCCATAGCAAAAAAACTAAATATGATCGAAGAACGAACAACAGTATACAAAACACAACATAAAAGACTGAGCAACACGAACCTCACTAAAACTGCCGTTATCTCAGGTGCTCCAGAAGAGTAAGCAGATTCTGCTCCACATGTGACACCCTTTCAAATAATTAATTGGTTTTTTCTGGTCTTTGTGAATCATGCTTTTCAATTTTCTATCTTATGCTGTTCTTTTTGCAAATGCAATGCCACAATGGTTTATATGTGCATTAAAAACAAATTAAAGCACCCAATTGATCAGTTCACTTATTGAATTCATTGATTATGTGATTACAAAGGTTTTGAGTCAGACTGATTTAATTTTTAGCAATGCCAGAGGTACATTCAACAATGGGTCCAAGACTTGTTTCAGACACAGTGTATTGATATTGAGTTTCATAATCATTTCTAATTCTTATATACATTTTTTTAGAACAAAAGTTCAAAGTAAAAACCAAGATTATTGTAGCTGATTTTAGTGCTGGTTTACAAATATATGATGCAATAAGAAGACAGTTAGCTGGACTAGACATTGGAGTTCTAGGTAAGACAACAATAGTTTTTCATTAAATGACTTTTTGACTATGTAATTTTTTTTTCATCAAAATAACACTGCTTTTTGCCTTTCCTTTCCATTACTTTAGCCAAGAATCATTTTATTTTTTATCTTGAACATGTTGAATGTGATCAAATTGGTTGTAGTCTTCAAGTTGACCATAAAATACAAATACAAATATCTGATACTGCTACTTCAAATTAATATATAGAACAGTGGGAAAAAGTTATTACATGTCTTTCTTGGTACAGGATCTATAACTGTCATATTTATGACTTTGTAACCTGGTTGGTTTTGTGAAAGTGTGCTTGTCTAGATTGAGTAAGTTGGTGGATTCAATCCCCAGTCTGATAGTGTGCTTGTCTAGATTGATTAAGTTGGTGGGTTCAATCCCCAGTCTGATAGTGTCCTTGTCTAGATTGAGTACGTTGGTGGGTTCAATCCCCAGTCTGATAGTGTGCTTGTCTAGATTGAGTAAGTTGGTGGGTTCAATCCCCAGTGTGATAGTGTGCTTGTCTAGATTGAGTAAGTTGGTGGATTCAATCCCCAGTCTGATAGTGTGCTTGTCTAGATTGAGTAAGTTGGTGGGTTTAATCCCCAGTGTGATAGTGTGCTTGTCTAGATTGAGTAAGTTGGTGGATTCAATCCCCAGTGTGATAGTGTCCTTGCCTAGATTGAGTAAATTGGTGGGTTGATCCCCAGTGTGATAGTGTCCTTGTCTAGATTGATTAAGTTGGTGGGTTCAATCCCCAGTGTGATAGTGTGCTTGTCTAGATTGAGTAAGTTGGTGGGTTCAATCCCCAGTGTGATAGTGTGCTTGTCTAGATTGAGTAAGTTGGTGGATTCAATCCCCAGTCTGATAGTGTGCTTGTCTAGATTGAGTAAGTTGGTGGGTTTAATCCCCAGTGTGATAGTGTGCTTGTCTAGATTGAGTAAGTTGGTGGATTCAATCCCCAGTGTGATAGTGTCCTTGTCTAAATTGAGTAAGTTGGTGGGTTGATCCCCAGTGTGATAGTGTCCTTGTCTAGATTGATTAAGTTGGTGGGTTCAATCCCCAGTGTGATAGTGTGCTTGTCTAGATTGAGTAAGTTGATGGGTTCAATCCCCAGTGTGATAGTGTGCTTGTCTAGATTGAGTAAGTTGGTGGGTTCAATCCCCAGTCTGATAGTGTCCTTGTCTAGATTGAGTAAGTTGGTGGATTCAATCCCCAGTCTGATAGTGTGCTTGTCTAGATTGAGTAAGTTGGTGGGTTCAATCCCCAGTGTGATAGTGTGCTTGTCTAGATTGAGTAAGTTGGTGGGTTCAATCCCCAGTCTGATAGTGTGCTTGTCTAGATTGAGTAAGTTGGTGGGTTCAATCCCAAGGCTATTGAATCCTAATTGTGTTTGTTACATGTTAAAGTCTGATTTTGCAATGATTAGAAAAAAAATTGTAGTAAGACTTTCTATTTGAAAGGCTTTGCCCTTTCACAATACCAATTGCTAAAATTATTTACCAAATTACAGTTTGAATTCATCACTACAAACTGATAAACTGGTTAAGCATTTTAGCTCATTGCTTAAATGAAGGTTATTAATATGAACCAACTGCAGTGAAATAAATGATTCTTACCATCCAACTCAAGTGACATGAATTATTTTTAATATTCACAGTAAATCAAAGAATGTTCAGGAACAGTTACCTCCCCTTACACAGTATTGTAAAAAATAATTTTGTTCAGCTAAGAAGTTTCAGTTATAAATAAATATGATTTTTAGACATAGATATCGATTATACAAATAAATTGCATAGAAATTTTAATGCAGTATATATATATGAAGATACATTTTCAGTATTTCAGAGAAGAATTAGTAGCAATTTTACAACAGTCAATTGATCCTGATGAAGGATATTTGTTATCTAATATCTTTGTGTAGTAAGGGTTTGTAGACCTTGGGGACCATTTGATTGTTACTATTTCTGATTTTTTGACTGGATTTCAGTTAACTTTAATACCTTATTATGTTTTGATTCTAATGATTGTAAGCTTAATGGTTTTCTTATATAACAAAACATCAATTTTGCTGTATCTATGTAATGAAGCAATGGTGCTTGGTAAACTAGACCCCTGTTGTGTTCACTTATCGCTACACTAACAACAGGTACAGCCTAAATATCATGGTCAGCTTTCTGACTGGTTGATTTAATACTTGATGGAAAAACGTATATAAATAGAATGTATTTCTCTTTCTATATCTAACGCTCAGAATTTTCTGAACATAATAATGTCTGGATATTTAATTTTGTAACATGTTGCGGGGGACATGGAAATACCGGGTGTCCATCTGTCCGATTGTCCGTCTGTCCGGTCTTGTAAGCGCTCTCATAGGTACAATTCTTGCCAGATTTTTATAAAACTTATACTATAGGTTAATATCAGCAATATCTCAAAGTTTTATAATGGTGGCCGATTGACTTTTTTAAAAGAGTTATGCCCCTTGGAAATATTAAATTTATGGAAAATGGCCTCGATAGCGCTCTCACGGGTACAATTCTTGCCAGATTTTTATAAAACTTATACTATAGGTTAATATCAGCAATATCTCGGACAAGTTCTATAATGGTGGACTATAAAACTTATAGTATACTCTAAGTAATGCCCTTGAAGGTCTGTTTGAAATATTTAGTATACAAAAAAAAAAAACTTTTTTGTCCCCCGCGCACGCTTTTTATTTGTAAACTGTTTTAAAGAACAACAACAAAAAGTTTTTTTTTTAGTTATTGCCCTAGGACAGATAAAATATGTGCAACTGGGGGGACATTGGAACTCTGTTCTATTATTTTTTTTACATCTACCTTAATTAAAATGTAAAATCATATTTCGAATCTTACAGCTGTATGCATACACCTTGGAATAATATACTATATATATATTATGTCCCAGCATAGACAATTATATGTAAAAAAATATATATATAGATTACTAGTTATATTACTACTACTCCATGTTTGAACACACCCGTATCATGTCTTAAAATGTACTTTAAAAAATTAATACCACGTAGAGATATAAATAGCTTGCTGTATGGAGTTAAATAACAGATACATATTTATTTTGGGGCATCGCAGTATCAACATTTGAGGTCAAGTTGTCCAAAGTTCCCGTCAATATAATTGGTCGATATCGTGAGCGAATCATTGGATTTGTAAGACCCGTCCAATTAATGCCAAGGTGACAATGGCGCCAACCCATTCCTTCAGTGCAGAGCTTTAGATGGAGTGGGAGACCAGTTTATGGGGTTTGGGTGTGTATAAATTGTTGTTTCTTTTTTGTTCACTTGTTCAATGGCAAATCAAGCAGGGTATGAATTTATCAGCTTTGCTCACAGTTTTTCTTGTCTTTTTCAGCTCACCTGGTCCGAAGGGCCAAGTGAGCTTTTCTCATCACTTGGCGTCCGTCGTCCGTCGTCAACCTGCGTCGTCCGTCGTCGTCGTTAACTTTTTACATTTTGAACTTCCTCTAGAGAACCACTGAATGGAATGAAACCAAACATGACATGAATGTTTCTTATGAGGTGCTGACCAAGTGTTGTTACTTTGTAGCGGATCCATCATCCAAGATGGCCGCCAGCGGGGGACTTAGTTTAACATAGGACCCTATGGGGAAATACATACAAATGTCTTCTTTTAGAGAACCACTGAATGGAATGAAACCAAACATGGCATGAATGTTCCTTATGAGGTGCTGACCAAGTGTTGTTACTTTGAAGCTGATCCATTATCCAAGATGGCTGCCAGCGGGGGACTGAGTTTAACATAGGACCCTATGGGAAATACATACAAATGTCTTCTTTTAGAGAACCACTGAATGCAATGAAACCAAACATAGCATGAATGTTCCTTATGAGGTGCTGACCAAGTGTTGTTACTATGAAGCCGATCCATAATCTAAGATGGCCGCAAGTGGAGGACTTAGTTTAACATAGGACCCTATGAGAAATACATACAAATGTTTTCTTTTAGAGAACCATTGAATGGAATGAAACCAAACATGGCATGCATGTTCCTTTTGAAGTGCTGACCAAGTGTTGTTACTTTGAAGCTGATCCTTCATCCACAATGGCCGCCCAATGGGGACAATGTTTAACAAAGGACCCTATGAACAATACATACAAATGTCTTCTTTTAGAGAACCACATACTGAATGGATTGAAACCAAACATGGCATGAATGTTCCTTATGAGGTGCTGACTAAGTTTTGTTACTTTGAAGCTGATCCTTCATCCATGATGGCCGCCAATGGGGGGACTTCCTTTAACATAAGACCCTATGGGAAATACATAAAAATGCTTCTTCTAGAGGTGCACTGAATGGAATGAAACCAAAACATGGCATAAATGTTTCTTATGAGGTGTTGATGAAGTGTTGCTACTTTGTTGCCGATTTACTGTTCAAGATGGCCACCAGGATTTTTTATTAAATTACAGGACCAATATTAAACCAAATTTGGCCTCACTCATTATTAGGGTATCTGTTATGATTTTAATCTATTTTTACATGATTTCCAAAACCAAATGAGAATCAGGTGAGCGACACAGGCTCTTGAGAGCCTCTAGTTATCTATCTTTACATGATTTCTAAAACCAAAGTAGAGTCAGGTGAGCGACACCGGCTCTTGAGAGCCTCTAGTTTTAATCACAATCAGGAAAATGACACTATGTAGGCAGCCTGTCAACCTAATGTTATTTCTTCATTGTTTTGAATGAGTTGTTTTAAGTATTATTTGTTTAAAGTATGAGTAGGCAAAGATGGAAAACCTTTCCATTTCTCATTTTACTGGAACATCAATCATTCTTACAGGAAGACTACTGGTATAGCATATATTTAAACGGATGATTGCCATTCATGTTATTTTAAAAAATTTGAAGAACAGACTGAAATTTATGTGGAACGACAAAAATGACTTTATCATTTATCAGCATCTTTATTGATGGAAATAATAAAACAGT